ATCCTTCCTGCTCGTGGTTTCATGTTTATGTCTGTAAACATTATAAAGTTTTGTTTTGTGTGCCTTTTAATTATTTTTATTTTTAAACGGTTTTCTATTGTGAATACACGCATACCTACAGGGTGCCAAATAAATCATACATTTTAAGAAAAGAAACAACTGTATTAAAATTGTGATACTCAATATATACCATCAACAAAAGATGAATACAAGTCATGTTTGACTTCTGCCATTACAAGGGGTGCTCAAAGTGATTACCATCAGCATCCAGACACTTCTAATTATGGCAGACATCTCTTAAACGTGTATACTTTTTTTGGTACCCCGGTATATATATATATATATATATTTCTTGGTGAACACCTCAGTGGCCATTGTGCACAGTTTTGTGTACCCACCACCACTGTCTACATCCAGCACTCTTCATCATTCCCAACACAAACTTTCTACCCATTAAACACTAATCCCCCTTTGTCTCCTACCCCTGTCTTCTGGTAACTCTTTTCTGCTTTTTGTTCCTATAAATTAGCCTACTCTAAGTACCTCATCTGAGTGGACTCATACAATTTGTCCTTCTTTGTCAGCTTATTTCACTAAACATGATGTTTTCTTAAGGTCCCTTATGTTGTAGCATATATAGTATCAAAATTTTAGTCCTTTTTATGACAGAAGAGTATGCCACTGTATGAATATATCCCATTTCATTTGTTCATTTATCTGTTGATGGACACCTGAGGTATTTTCACTTTTTGGTTACTGTGAATAATTCTACAACAAACATTGGTGTACATGTATCTATTTGAGTCCCTGTTTTCAATTATTTTGGATATTTACCTAAGAGTGAAATTTCTGGATCTTGTAATAATTCTATGTTCAATTTTGAGAAACTGCCAAACTGTTTTCCATATTGGCTGTACCTTTTTTTTAGTGTGTTTTAGACTTTACATAAGTGGCATCATTTTGTACATATAATGACTTGCTTTTTTTCTGAGTATTTTTTTATCAGTGTTGATATAAGTAGCCAATAATTTATTTGTTTTAAATGCTGTATAGTATGTTATTTACATATATTACAGTTTATTCATAAATCCCCCTACTATTGGTCACCTAGGTTATGCTTCCTGGCCCCAGCTTAAAAATAGCCCTGTGATGAACATTATAAACGTCTTCTTGTGCATATGGACAGGTGGTCCCCTACTTAGGATGGTTTGCCTTACGATTCTTTTACTTTACAATGATAAGAAAGTAATAGCATTCTGTAGAAACTGATTTGAATTTTGAACTTTTCTTGAGCTAGTGATAAGTTACGGTCCCTCTCCAGAAGCTGGGCAGCAACTGTGAGCCACAGCTCCAGTTAGCTGGCTGATCACAAGGACCAACAACAAAACTGCACTCTGCAGCGTTCTGCGTTCAGTACATTACATGAGATACTCATCATTTTATTATGAAATAGGCATTGTGTTAGATGAATTTGCCCAACTGTTGGCTTATGTGAGTGTTCTGGGCACATTTAAGGTAGGCTGGGCTAAGCTGTGCTGTCCAGTAGGTTAGGTGTGGTAATGCGTTTTTACATAACTGTATTTTCAAGTTACAATGGGCTTATCAGGCCACAACCTGGCAGAAAGTTGAGGTATTTATGGTATACACCTAGAAGTAGAATTGGATCATAAAATGTCCCCGAAACTTTACTGTTGCAGAATTGTTCTCCCGCTGGCAGAGTATGTGTGTTTCCATTTCCATTATTCTCCCTGGTGTGTGTCATTATCCAGTGGGTGTGAAGATGGTATCTCGTTGTTTGTATTTCTGTGGCAGCGAGTGAGGTTTATCATCTATTTTTGACCATTCAGGTTTTATTAGGAGTGTCTTTCCTTTCTGTTGATAGCCTTACCAGTTTTTCTTTGGGATTATTCTGTCTTTTGAATTCAATTATAGAAATTCTTTATATTCTCTGAGTACTAACCCTTTGCTTTATCCTAAATGTGTCCTAATTTGTGTCCTTTTGGTATCAGTTTTCTTTTTTTTAATTCCTTTTTTCTTTTTTTTAGTTGGAGTCTCACTCTGTCGCCTAGCTAGAGTGCAGTGGCATGCTGGAAGCCACCCCAGGGTCAACTTGCTAAGCTACGGCCATCCTTCCGCCTCAGCCTTCCAAGTAACCGGAACTACAGGCGTGTGCTACCACGCCTGGCTAATTTTTAGTTTATTTTAGAGACAAGGTCTCGCCAAGTTGCCTGGACTGGTCTCAAACCTGCAGGCTCAGGCAGTCTACTTGCCTCGGCCTCCCAAAGTGCTGGGATTACAGGCTGAGCCACCAAGCCCAGCAATAGTGCAGTCCAATACACATTTAACCACACACTTAAATTAAATACACATTTAAATTAATGTTACATAAAATTGTAAGTTGAGTTTTTTAATAACCACATGTAGCTAGTGGCTACCGTATTGGACAGTGCTGATGTAGGACTTTTCTTTCATCACAGAAAGTTCTGTTGCACAGTCCTAAATAGAAGGTTTTGAATGTTAACAGTCATGCTTATCAGTTTTTTATTGTGGACTGTGAGTTTTGAGTCTTTTATAAGATGCTCATCAGAACCTTCATGCTTTTCACATGCAGTCTTAGAATTAATCTAGAATTTATTTTTATGAATGATACTGATGTGAGATCCAAGATCTGACTTTATTTTTTTACCTACATTTTATTTCAGCACCATTATTTTAATAGTTGATCCATTCTCTGCTGAAATATGTTTCCCATATAATTTGGCAAGTTTTAATGTGTATGTGGTTCTTTTCTGGTGGGATTTTATTGTTTGTTTGGTTTTTTTTCTGGTATTATTTTTCTCCTTTCTCCTTCCCTCTAGTCTGTTTGCATTTCCTCATGTCAATATCAGGTTGTTGTCATTACTGCTGTTTTATAATTATTCTTGGTAGCTACTTGGAACAAGTCCCTATCCTTATCCCTTTGCACACCCAGATGTCCCTTCTGAGGAGACATTGTAAATCTAGCAAATCACTTGGATGTCCCCTCTCAGGGGATATTGGATGGCTGGTGATTATACAGGACAAACTTACACCAATGCAAACTTTTCAGAAATGTTTTCTAGAAGTTTTCCATTCAAATTTCATGAAAATGCAAAGAAAGAGATGGAATATATATTGAGATGTACGTTAAAAAAATCAGCTGGCATTGCATAGAAAGAATGTATGAAGTGCTTTCACAGTGGTGCCGACACTTCTTTGTAACAGAAGATAGTGATAAAGAGCGTTTGTATAAGAAAGGCAGCTGTGGGTATGCCCTTTGCATCATACGGCATAACTTAGAAGGATAGATAAACAAGTTACTGTAGCCTTAAAAGAAATGCGTTTTCAAAGTTGAAGGCAGATCGTGTTGAAGGATCGATCGATCAGTTGAGAAGTGGTTTTCATGAATCATGAGCGTGTTCTTCCACATCATCTTTGAGCAAGACTGAACAATAAATTACATAACATGAATGTGGGAGGAAAAAAAAGAGACTGCATTGTCTGCTTGAGTAGAAAAACACCAGCTGGAAGATGTCAAGCAAATGACGACTGCACAACGTCTTATCAATGAACCTGCAGTGCACATCGATGACTGTTTCACCTGTTACCACACATTAGACAAACATAGGATAGAAAATTTTGATTTTTTTGTCATAAGTAAGTTCCTCTGTGTCTAAAATTCCATTATGAGCCAAATATCATTACCATAAAATAATTGGTCCCAATGCTATACTATTTAATAGGAAGTGATTCATTTTTTGCTATTTTGTAAAAAAGTGTGGTCAAGTTGATGGTAGGTGGTGTGCAAGATGTCTCTGAGTACAAAGGGTTATTTTTCTTCTTCAGATTTGACCTGATTATTGTTTCTTTTTTTGGTATTTTAAAAATTGACATAAAATAGTTGTACATACTGAATGTTCTTTCTTAGCTCTTTGGTTTTGACCCTTTGTCCTTGATCCCTTTAAATTTGGGATCAGGTTTTGTTGTTTTGTTAAAAAATAAATTCTGGCCAGGTACAGGGGCTCGCCCTGTAATCCCAACACTTGGGGAAGTGGAGGTGAGAGGATTATCTGTGCCTAGGATTCAAGACCAGCGTGGGCAACATGGTGAGACCTTGTCTCTACAATAAATCAAAAAATTAGCTAGCTGGGCATGGTGGCATGTGCCTATGATTCTAGCTGCTTGGATGGCTGAGGTGGAAAGATCACCTGAGCTCAGCAGGTCAAGGATGTGGTGGCTGTGAGCGTGCCCTGCACTCCACCATAGGTGAGTGAGATTCAGTCTCAAAAGAGAGAAAATAAAAAGAAATAATTAATTCTGAGGACCAGGCCTGGTGGCTTGTGCCTGTAATCCCACTACTTTGGGAGGCCAAGGTGGGAGACTCACTCGAGCCCAGGTGTTCGAGACCAGCCCGAGCAACTTAGCGAGACCTTGTCTCTACAGAAAATAGAAGAAAAAGCCAGATTTGGTTATGTGTATCTGTAGACCCAGTAACTTGGGATGCTAACACAGAAGGATCGCTTGAGCCAAGGAGGTCGAGGCTGTGGTGAGCCAAGATCGTGCCTCTGCACTCCAGAACAGGACCCTTGTCTCAAAAAAAATTTGTTAGGATTTTGTTTGGAATTATATGTGATTTATAGAGTGATTTGATGAGAACTGGTGTTTTATGCTACCGAGTCTGACAATTTTTCTATTCAGTTGTTCTTTTATATGCCTCAGTAACATCTAGTATTTTTTTCTTTAAAGGTGAAGCACATTTTTATTAGGATTTTTATTGTTTGGTCATGTTAAAACTTTTATTCGGGCTTTTATATAGAATTTTTGTTCATAAATGAGACTGCTGTATACTTTTTTGAGTTGTCTTGATGGTGTTTTGGTATCAGGCCCCATTAAGTGAGTTGGCAGCTTACTTTCCGTTTTCTTTCTGTTTTTCCAAACTTTGCTATTTTGGATTTCTAGAAAATTCTAAATATGTTTTTCAGCTTGCAGGCAATACTTTGACAAGTATCCAGGAGACCATGAACTCCTTTGGGAAGTTGAAGGTGTAGGGCACTGGTACCAGCGAATACCAATCACCAGAGCATTACAGAGAGAAACACTTAAAATTCCAGGTAAGAGTGTTTTCTGTTTGAACACAAGTCCAGTTTAAAAAGCAGTGGCTAACATTGTTTGTCCAGGGTAGTAGTGTATTATAATGTGATCTTTCTAGTAATAAACACAGTAGTCTAAAGCTTGAAGTTTTATTGTGTATTAACTTTTTGATCACTAGTGAAAAGGAGACCTAGAATAGCCCACCCGAATGCAGCAGCCCAGTAGGAATTGGATAAGAAATAAACACAGATTTCTGAGACAGCATAGGATTGGCATCAGGGCATCAAAGGTAGTCCCAAATCTCCTGCACCTCTCCCCAAAGTCACTAAAGACTTAAGATAACTGTTTAGCACTCTGTTAATGGGGAGGTTGTATTGTAAGATATTGGTGAGGGGAACCTCACATCTAGATTTTTCAGTACCCTTCTGTCCAGGCTGCTCTTCAGAGCAAACAGCGTTACGGTTAAATCCAAATACTGTGATGGATTACAATTTGTAAAATTCTTCTGTACACAGCAGTTTCTCAGAATGAACCTAAAAGACCTATGTCTGGAGAATATGGTCCTGCATCTGTTGCAGAATATGAAGCAGGAACTGGAGAGAATCAGTCTAGTGAGATGCAGCTAACTGTAGGTACACTATATGTTTATTATAGGAAATAATACTTTTTTGTGTTTTTAAAAAGTAGATTCAGTTTATATTTAAGTTTTAAATGTAAAGTTCATTCAACAAATCTGTGTGATTTCCACTGTGGTAGTTTTCCTTAGCATCTTCTGTTAATATTAGTAGGACTTAATTTTCTTTGAAAATGAATTTTAATGTTAATAGTATTATGAACTAACTAAAGGTATCTTAGAGTATATGTAAGATATATATATATATATATGCGTATATATATATATATAAATAAAATAAAAACCTATAATCTCATATTCAGATACAGCCAGTGTTAAAATTTTTGTGTATGTATTTACTATTATAAAGCATGTATTTATACATGTTTTATTTTTGGTTTTAGTGTCTTAGATTGCTTCTAACTGCTCTTCTCTATTAATGTAATATTGTAAGCATTTTCTATGACTTTACTGTTTTAAAACATGATTATTAAATAGCAGCACACTATTCTGTTATCTGTTTTATGTATACCATCATTTATTTCCTTAACAGGATATTTAAATCTTTTACATTTTATCTGGTCCAGCAACAAACACATTTATACATGGATCTTTGTGCATATGTAATTATTTCTCTGTACATATAAACTTCTAGAAGTGGAATTAGTGGCAGGTCAAAGATTATGAAGTTATTATGGAAAGTTTGTGGCTGTATATGCTAGTTGTTTGTAGAATTTAATGCACTTTGCAAATATTATGTATCCTGGAAGTAGGACAGGTCTCACTACTGAATTCCACAGGGCTTAATAGGTTTTTTTCTAGAACTGATGTTTTGTAGTACTTGATATTTCTTAACACATGGACCCATTGATGAATTCTAGAAGTCTAGGGTTTTGGGGAATGGCATTTATTAAAGTCATTTTTTTTTTTTTTTTTTTTTTGAGTTGGAGTCTCACTCTGTCGTCCAGACTGGAGTGCAGTGGCTGCTCCCGGCCACCGCAGCCTCGGCCTGCTGGGCTCCAGCGATCCTTCCGCCTCAGCCTTCCGAGTAGCCGGAATTACAGGCATGCGCCACCACACCCAGCTGATTTTTTTTTTTGATTTATTGTAGAGATGAGGTCTCACTGCCCAGGCGGGTCTCGAACCCGCGGGCTCAGGCAATTCACTCACCTCAGCCTCCCAAAGGCGCGGGATTACAGGCTGAGCCACCGAGCCCGGCTAAGTCATATTTTTGTACATAGGTATCTTGAGTTTATTTTTAGTGAGTGTTGAATATGCCGATGTAAATGCATATGCATTTTTTATTTATTTATTTATTTATTTAGAGTTGAAGTTTCACTCTGTCACCCAGGCTGGAGTGCAGTGGCATACTCATGGCCACTGCAGCCTAGACCTGCTGGTCTCAGGTGATTCTTCCTCCTCAGCCTTCCAAGTAGCTGAAGCTACAGGCACGCACCACCACGCCTAGCTATTGTATTTGCATTTTAGAGACAAGTGCTTTGGGGAATTATTTGTGTTCTTATTTTCTATCTTAATTAGTTTGAGAGTTGACTATATTTGAGTGAAAAATTTGTAGATTTTAAAGGATAACAACATAATAATTATAAGGAGTTAGATTTTTTGTTTTTATTTTTTTTTATATTTGGAACTTCAAACTTCAGAATGAGCCCCTGTTCCATTGCAGTCCAAATTTCCCACATATGCACAGATTCATTGTATATTGGCCAGATATCATAAAATTAAGGAAAGTAGGAAATCTGTTCTTCCCATAAATATAATGAGGGCAAATAATTACTGTTAAGCCAAATAATTTTAGATGTGCCATTTAGTGAGAATATATTAGTGTTTCCATGTGATAACTGCATAGACTAGAATTTAGAATCTAACATAATTAAGTTATATTTTAGAAATTCATACTAAGTTTTAATTAGTTCAAGGAACATTTTTATTTCTCATGAGAATATTTATATATTTTTTATCAGTCACCACAAAAAGTAGTAGTTTTGTTTTTTAATTTCTTTTCTTTTCTTTTTTTTGAGTTGGAGTCTTACTCTGTTGCCCAGACTGGAGTGCAGTGGCCGCTCCGGGCCACCGCAGCCTCGACCTGCTGGGCTTTGGTGATCCTTCCGTCTCAGCCTTCTGAGTAGCTGGAACTACAGGCATGCGCTATCACACCCGGCTAATTTTTTATTTATTGTAGAGATGAGGTCTTACCAAGTTGCCCAGGCGGGTCTTGAACCTGCAGGCTCAGGCAGTCCACTCACCTCGGCCTCCCAAAGTGCTGGGATTACAGGCTGAGCCACCGAGCCTCGCCTGTTTGTTTATTTCAATGACATGATTTATTCTTTAGGTGATGATGGTATTTTTATATGCTTTTTTCTATTTTTATACACAATAATTACATGTTTCTCCTATAATTTTTGCACTTTTTATTCATCTTTATCTACATCTTAACCTTTTCTAGTTGAGCTACAGACTTCTTGAAGACAGGACTTTTATCATAGAGTCTATCCCAGTTGGCTTCCTTGTTTGTGCTGTATAAGTAGACCTTTTGAATTCTGCACTCCTATCATATTTAGGGTTTTATTAAGTGTGTATTGGATGAATGAATGGATCGTGGTTTATGTAATAAAATAGGTACTGTGGCAAGCACTGGACATTTAAATAAATGGTTCTTATACCCGTGGGAGAACTAGATGATCCTTTACCAGAAACAGGAGTAAACAAATATACTACGATATGGTAACTGCCTTAATTATTACATCAAATGACTGGAGGCGCATAGCAGAAGATGACTTTTAAATGATGAGTGGGAGCTCTGTGGCAAGGTTGTTACACACTCCAGGGGATACCACTTTTTAAAAAAAAGTGTGCAATAAAAAGGCATGGTAGGTAAGAAAAGAGATATTTGGTATCAAATAAGTTGAAAGTTTGTATTCTAGGCAGCAGTAGGTCTTGCTGTTGTTAAGCAAAGGAGGACTGGCGCGGTTTGTGATGTGAAGGGGTCGCTCTGTCATCAAGGTGAAAGGGATTAGACGTGGTGTGATTAGCGTGAAGGATACCGGTAAAGAGACTATTGGAATAGTTCAGGTTAAAGCTCATAAAGGCTTGCGCTAAAGCAGTGGTAGCACAAAGGACAGGGCGATTTGGGGAGATGCCTCAGTTAACATTGGCAGGCTTTGAGAGTGACTGACTGAGGAATAAGAAGAAATCATTGCCGACTCACTGATTTCTGGTTAGACGACTGACTGAATTGTAGTTGCCATTAACCAAGATCGGGAGTAATACTGGAGAAAGATAAAGTTCATTTGAGGAAGGTTGGCTGTGAACTTGGATAGGACTTCCACTGGGAGACTTTGCGGTGGAGATAAAGAGCTTTGCGAATTAGGAAGAAAGTTGGGGAGCCTAAGTTGTATGTTTGGATTCATCAGCAAGTAGATGTTGAGGTGAAGATAGTATACAAGTGAAGGGAGACTGTTTGCACTGGGAAGAGAAGATGGCTGAGGACGGAACCCCAGGAGACACCAGTGCATATCCCTGTAATATGGTAGATAGCCTGCCTGTATCCTCAGGCTCATCATAAACTATGACTGGAATATAACCATTTTGTTTTCAGTGTAAATTTTCTTAACAAAAAGTACTATTTGAAAAACATTTCAAAAGTTTTTTTGAAGCTATAAATGAAATAGAGCCATAGAGAGAGAAATAGTCTAAAACCTGGGGGTTTAATCTGTGTCTCTATTTTAGATTGATTCTCTCAAAGATGCCTTTGCAAGCACTTCTGAAGGTAAGGAATTCAGCTGATCTGTCAGTGCTTGAGACACTTCGAATTGTGGCTGTGTGCATGTGTGTGTGTCTTACCTAGTAAGTGAAGAGTTATCTAGCTCTGATATCTAGATCTGGGTTCTGATGTCACCCCTGCCACTGATTTTGCTGTGTGAACTCTGAGTAAGCTGTTGTACCTCTCTTTTCTTCATTTTCTTACCTGTAAAGTAGGGACTACCTTGTTTATTTCCCAAGACTTAAAAGAGAATGTGAGTGAAAATGCAAAAATATGTGGCAAATCCCAAAGTAACATGGAAATGCAAAGAATGAATATTAACAAAATAACTATATAATGTAGAAAATATGTAAATTATAAAATAGTTTTCTTAACTTAAAATATGTGGGGGAAGGACAAACCTGTGTCATGGTGGGGATATATGTAAACTAGCATAGTTCTTAGATTTCTGTGCATTTTAGTAGGTAGTCCCTTGAATACATCATCAATTAAGTATAGTTTTGCTATTTTTCTTTTCAGGTCATGATCAAACACCTGTTTCCACTCGAACTCGAAGTAGTAATCTCAAGCGACCAAAGATTGGAAAGCGGTTTCAGGATTCTGAATTTAGCAGTCCTCCAGGTGAAGAGGAAAAGACTCCCCAGACTTCAGTAAATAAGTAAAGCATTGTTTACTTTACTCTCATTATTTTATTTGTTCTTATTTAAGGTAGAGGCTATTGTTACATTGTTTGTGTAGCAAATGATATTGGAGCAGGAGTTTGTATTTGAATTATGCTGCAAGATTATTTGTTATGTTTACCGGTGGTGTTACCTTGACAGTTATTGGGAGAAGTTACTAGTAAGGGAGTGGCAAAAACTCACTATTTAATCTCTCATGTGTAAAAATCCAGGAGAATATTCTAGGAATTATATTATCCCAAATGAGTCATTATCACAAACTTTGAATTTGATAGTGTAGTTTTTAGTAATGATGAGGTTTAGTCAGTTTATTAAAAACTTCAATTTTACTTTATTAACTTAATCATTTTTACTGGGCTCTTATATCTAATTTAAATATTAGTGATAGCCATAAGTAGTGCCGTCACTCCCTCAGGGAACTTAATAGTAAACTGAATTAACAAACACTTGAGTCAAAACTGTATCCTCTGTCTTTGAATCTTTTTTTTTTTTTTTTAAAGCAGCATTTACTGAGAGGACAGAAAAGCTCCCACAGTGGGAGGAGTACCCGAGAGGGTTGCCTGTCTTTGAATCTTAAAGCAAGATTTTACATTTTATAAAACAGTTTAGATTTCTACCCTAACAGTTCTTCCAGCTGTTTCTGAGTCAACCATTTAATTAATTCACAGCTTTGCCATTTTAGCTGTCAAATTATTTTACTAGAGAATCCTGTTGCTATGCTAATTTCATTGTGCAAATAGTTTTAAATTCTGGTAATTAAGTAAGTAAATATCTTATTGTGGTGAAAAATTCACAGTTAAGGGTAAATATAAGTAAATATTTAAATCTAGTAATTTGTGAAATGAATAATAAGAATTTAGATAGTTGCTTTTCTTGCTGAGCAATATTCTGATGTAGTACTCCTTTTAGAGGAGAATGTGACAATGCATTTTTAATTGAACATCCCCCAAATTATTGTGGAATTTTGCTTTTCATGCACGGGACAGTAACAGTAAGACTATATGCTTGAATGTTTCCTCAGACATATGAAGGACAAAACATCCTCTTTGCCCTTGAAGAATTGACTGCCTTGTGGTAAAGACAGACATACACACAGTCAAGAGCACTGTCAGGTGGATTGTGGTACTACAAAAAATGGAAGTGCAGAAAGCTGTGGATGCCAGGAGGGAGTAGTTGATGCTAATGGAGGGAGTGCAGAGATTTGGCATTTGGGCAAGGCTTCAAACAGCAAACTCAGCAAGCAGGAGAGGAGACTTTCTAGTGTAGGGGCCTGCCAGCTATGGTCTGCAGGCCAAAGCTGGCTTGCCACCTGTTTTTTTCTTCTTTTTACTTTATTTGATTATAAAGATGTGAGGTACAAGTCAAGATTAGGTGCAGAAGTAGTCTATGTGCAGGTGAAGTTTGGGCCTCCAACTAGCTGCCACTTGTTTTTGCAAATAAAATTTTATTGTAAGACATCCATGCTCATTAGACTTATATATTTTAAATTGTAGTTGCTTTTGCATTGCAATGGTGGAGTTGAGTAGTTGGAACAGAGATCCTATGGCTCACAGACCCTAAAGAAAGAGTTTGCCGATCCCTTGTCTACACCAGGGCTGTCTGGTAGAACTTTCTTCGGTGATGGCAGTGTTTTCTGTCTGCCTTGCCCAGTGTGGTAACCACTAGCCAGTTTGCTCATTGAGCATTGAAAGTGTGGCTAGTGCAGCTGAAGAACTGAATTTTTATTTCATTTAGTTTTAATTAATTTAAATGCATGTGTCTTGTGGCTACTGTATTAGTACAGATCTAAACTCAAGGAATAACTTGAGCAAAGACACAAAGCTAGGAGGAGTTGATAAGGATAACTGATGAATAAGATAAACAGAAAGATAAGGATCTGGTCAAGTTAGCCTTGAAAGGAAGTACACGTTATTCACTGAGCTTATAGAGCATCACCAGGAACTTCTGAGCTGGGTGGTCACGGGTGCAGATCACATGTATTGGAAAGTCAGCTCTGAAATCTTTGATGACATGCTGCACATCTGAAGATGAGTTAGGAAGAAGCTACAGAGAGAGAAGGGCTGGAGAAAATTGGGGCCTGAAGCAGGGCTGTGAAAATGGCCATAGAAAGTTACTGATGTATTTGAAAGGCATCTTGGGGATAGAACAAAACCAATCATAATTTATTGTCCAAAGGACTTTCTGGAGAATGAAAGGGACATTGTTAATACTATGCTAGTATCCGTAAGTATGGACAAGTCTAAACTGGGACTGCACCAGGTAATCTGGGATTTATGTTCCTTCTCATAGAATAAGATCCAATAAGATATGGAGAGAATAAAAGAAGGGTCTAGTTGACATGATTGAGAGGATGGCAATGTGATAGGAAGATGAAGATACTGGTTTTAGACCTGTAAAATCTGAAATTGTTGACTGAACAGCACATGGTTGTCTAAAATGTGACTTTTGTTAAGAAAAGATTCCTGAAATTTTACATGTATCCTTAATAAAACAAGTAAGAATGGTGGTGTTTGTTTTCTAGATTGGAGTCTACTGCACGCACATCAGAAAGCTCAGAAGAATTCCTGGAAGAAGAACCTGAACAAAGAGTGATTGAATTTGAGGACGAAAGTGGTGTTAAAGATGCCAAGCCAGCGCCAGAAAGCCCGCCACACCCAGAGAAGCAGGATGGTGAGAAGGTATGAGACCACTTCCTCAATAAATGGAGAGGAAGTTAACAGAGTTTTAACCTTTGTAATCAAATACTGTTAGGAAACTAAGATGCTGTATTTTCAAGTCCCAGCAGAAACTGCTTAGTGTTAAAAAGCATATATTGAGCAAGGTCAGGTACTAGAGTTGGAAAGAGGCTACAGTGTTTAAGTATTTGTTCCTATCTTCTTTTTCCCTCTTCTCTGTTCTTTTCCTGTCCTTCTCTTTTTTCCATTAATATTTTCAATCTTTTCCTATCTACAGATTTTTAATTTCTTCTTTAATGTGTACTTAAGTTTCTTGAAAAATCTTTTACCTGTTTGTCAAGTGCAGCCAGCAGGTGATAAATGAAACTCTATTACCAACTTTCTTTTTTTTTTTTTGGAGTTGGAGTCTCACTCCCTGGCCCAGGCTAGAGTGCAGTGGCATGCTCACAGCCACCCCAGCATTGACCTGTTGGGCTCCAGTGATTCTTCCATCTCAGCCTACCAAGTAGCCAGAACTACAGATGTGCAGTACCACGCCTGGCTAATTTTTTATTTATTGTAGAGACGAGGTCTTGCCAAGTTGCCCGGGCAGGTCTTGAACCCGCAGGCTCAGGCAATCCACTCACCTCGGCCTCCCAAAGTGCTGGGATGACAGGCTGAGCCACTGAGCCCAGCCTTTGAAACATGTTTTTAAATGACATTTTTCTTCTTGTAGAAAATTGAGAAAATGAAGAAAAGCCCATATTTTTTAAAAACAGGATTTATATGCATCTAGATGTTTATGGAAATATTTGTGGTTTTTCTCCCTCTTTTAAAAACTTATGATTATGCTATATGTACTTCATATGACTGTTTCATTCATGCAACAAGGGATACACCAATGACAACTTCCATTTTAATTTCAGTGGCTTTTTTTTTTTTAAACCTGGGTTGACTATTCTCCTTCCCTCAACGTTCTCTAGTTCCCTGGCTCCAGAATTCCTCTGTATTTTGATTTCTTGGTTTTTCTGTCTTTCAAGTTTTATTTATTTTTGACTTTTCTCTTGCCTACTTTTTTCCCCTTATTGTGGACACTCTGGAAAACTCAGTCCTTGAGTTTCTGATCTTTGGTTCATCTCACTCTTTTGAAAGTGCATTCAATCTGCTGTCTTCAACTATTGTCTTTATAGGGATGACTAGTAACTCTAGTTTTACAATATTGCTCCAGACTCTACCTCATAATGTCACTTGCCTCCTGAATATTACTATTTAGACAGATATCTCCTGTCATCTTAAATTCTACAAAATCTAATTCTTCTTATTACTTCTCAATTGAACCTGTTTTCCTGTTTCTTATTCTTTATTCTGTTTTCAAAACTTGTATTGCCTCTCACTTTTTGTTATCGACCAAAAATATTTTATGACAAGTTTTTTTTTTTTTTGAGTTGGAGTCTCACTCTGTTGCCCAGACTGGAGTGCAGTGGCCGCTCCCGGCCACCGCAGCCTCGACCTGCCAGGCTCCAGAGATCCTTCCGCCTCAGCCTTCTGAGTAGCCGGAATTACAGGCACGCGCTACCAAGCCCGGCTGATTTTTGATTTATTGTAGAGATGAGGTCTCGCTGCCCAGGCGGGTCTCAAACCCACGAGCTCAGGCAGTCCGCTCACCTCAGCCTCCCAAAGGCGCGGGATTACAGGCTGAGCCACCGAGCCCGGCTGACAAGTTTTTATTTTAGAAAAAATTTATTTTATTTAATTGATTTTTGTATTTATTTTAGAAAACTTTTATTATAGAAAAATAAGTCTCTGATTTCATCCCTTTTGGGAATCATTTTTAATATACTTTTAAGGGTTCTATATAATTCAGTCAAATATATTTCTGAATACTTGAGTGCATCAGTTTTCTAATTTTAATACTGGTAATAAAATTCCCCTTAATTATTAGAATGTCGCTAGAATCAATTAAAAATATTTGACATTAAATATAAATAAGTTGATAAACACTGGAAGAAGAATTTCAGAAATTGGAGGGTTTGTTACCAAATTTCATTTCCATATGTGAATAATATGATGCAAGGAGCAGAATTGTTCAGAAATGACCCTGGGATTCACTGACTGACAGTGAGCTAATAGAGACTGGGACTCTCTTTTCCCAGCAAGAAATAGCACTCAGCTTCCCAGGAGTTTGGTAGTGCTTCCTCCCTCTGGCAGGATACATGATAACCTCCCCCAGGTCCAGAGGCCTGAACAGCTGGTGTTACGTAAGGAGCTGCTATCAAGTCTGGATTCCCTCTGCTGGTGTTTTACTGAGAGGGTTCCTCCCAGGACTGCTCTATGAGAGGGAGGAACAATCAGGGGGCAGGGTCTTTTCGCAGAAGCTGAGACTCGGACTGCATATCCACAGAACATCCTTATCCTGCCCCGTGTCTCCATAAGAGCAGAGGGAACATGAGGTGCTCAGGGACTCTTTTTATTACTAATTTATTTTTATAAGTTCTTTTTAAAAAATCATCATTACATCGCCTCTTCACTTTATTTTATTGTACAGACAAGGTCTCGCCAAGTTGCCCGAGCTGGTCTTGAATACGTGGCCTCAGGCAGTCTACTCGCCTTGGCCTCCCAAAGTGCTGGGATGACAGGCTGAGCCACGGAGCCCAGCCCCTTTCTTTTGCTGATCCTGCCTCATGAGTTTCGTCTTTCCCCAGTGAGACTGTTCTTTAACCCATGTTGTAAATCTGTCGTGAGTCCTGGCGTGTGACGGGTAGGGACTCACCTCGCATGGCAAGTTGCTTAGTTTGTAATCATGTCCTGCCTTTCTCCCCTCCCCACCATGGTGCAGGAATCTGAATTGGAGCCTGTGAACGGTGAGATAATGGATGATTCTCTTAAGACCTCACTTGTAGCTGAAGAGGAAGACTCCACGAGTGAAGTGTTAGATGAAGAATTAAAATTGCAGTCTCCTAATTCCAGTGAAGACTCTACAAATCTTGTTCCACTTGGGGTAGAGTCTTCAAAACCCTCCGAGGCTGATGTACCAGATAAGGTAAGGAGGAATTACTCTAATTTAGTCAAAGTGGGCTAGTGTTGGTGACATTGGGGCAAAGGCATTTGCCTCCACCTTAACATGTGCAGTCCTTCAGGAAGATTGACTTTTACACTAGATTTGACACTGTGAGAAAATGCAATCGGTGATGTTCCATAAATTCAAGTCATTGTAACCTGATTCATATCTGACTTATGCTACCAAAACGAGTTTTACTTTGTATTTAAGGAAATGCTTAGAAAAATGAACAAAACATTCTTTACCAAATATTTGAGTACCTGTTGCTTAGGTAGTCTGTGACCAATACAGCGATTTTAATGTTTTAATCAGAGACAGATTAAGTTAGTGGGAAAAAAACTTTTGATTTTGTTACTTTTGAATATTCCAATTTGTAGCTAAAAAATTATCGTGTGGCATTATTTAATAAGTGTCTTACCTAAATAAATGAATAAAACTTCCACTGCCTTTATCGATTGTCTAACCATAGTCAAACTTGGCGGGTAGCACAGTGCCAAGTCCCAAAAGATTCTTGGTTCTGGCTCTAGTAACACCAGGAAACTGAACGATTGGAGTTAATTCATAGTTTTCAAGAATCTTGATATGAAATTTAAAGTGTCTTAAGTACAAAATAAGTATTTAATTATGTCTTTGACGTAAGAACTTAGTGTATCAAAATTACCACGTGACACGATTTTGAAGAAATGGAATTGTATTCAGAATATATACACATGATTAGCAAAAGTAATGGATATGGAGTTATTTGAACTGTAGTTTCATGTTATTGCACATTACTATCTGAGATTAATTTACCATAGAACTGTATTGCAAAAGTTTATTTGTTGACCAGGGTTTTTTTTTCCAGACCCCACTTACAGCTGACTCAGAAATGTTGGTAGACGAAGGCCCGTCTGATGAAAAGGGACATACTGAAGAGAAGCTGATCCTAGTTTCGAAGAAGAAAGCACATCTTGGGAGTGCAGACAACGTTACTACTCTCTCAAATGAAGAACGGTCTGATGGAGGTTTTCCAAACTCTGTGATAGCTGAATTTTCTGAAGAACCAGTCTCTGAGAATTTATCTCCCAATACTACTTCCTCACTGGAAGACCAGGGTGAGGAGGGGGTATCTGAGCCCCAGGAAACATCCACTGCTGTTCCTCAGAGTTCTATGATAGAGGTTGAACTTGAAGATGTGCCATTTGCACAGAATGCAGGACAGAAGAACCAGTCAGAGGAGCAGTCTGAGGGATCTTCTGAGCAACTGGATCAGTTCACCCCATCTGCAGAAAAAGTTGTGGATAGCAGCTCGGAGGAGATAGAGGTGGAGGTGCCTGTGGTAGACAGGCGGAATCTAAGAAGAAAGGCCAAGGGGCATAAAGGACCTGGCAAGAAGAAAGCCAAGCTGACCTGAGTGAAGAAGAAACGCAGATAATAAATCCTCTTCTTTGTGATGTAATTGTTGTTTTTAAGATATGGTAATTAATAAATAGCATGGGGCACAGGACCAAATTCCCCAAATTTCAAATAGAACATATTTACTATGCAGTTTTTTTCTTCCCTTTAGGACCTAGGATTCACCATTCTTTTTAATTTTTCAGGCTATTTTTTGTAAACGTAATTTTTTATTTTTATTAACCATGTTTCAATTTTGGAAAACCAGATCATATTATATTTTCTTTAGCAGGTGGTACATCTGACCATTATTTCAAAAAACTTATTTAAAAACTGAAAGTAGTAGGCTTTCCAATAATTGTAAGGATCACAGAAATCTTTTATACTAAGGGTTTTAATAGTAAAACGTGGTGAGGGTTCTAGAAGTTTTGTCAAAACTAAGCACCATTTTTTAAAAATAAAGGCATGCATAAACAAAAATGTGCCAGTAAATCAGAATTAATATAATTTCAAGTAAATGAGAGCACAAAAACAGAAATTTATGGTCAAAGGGTTTTGAAGATATTTTGGTATTGGCCTCTTAATCCTAGTTGTAGATGCAATTTCTTCCTTTGACTTCAGTGTCTATGGAAAGGTACACACAAAACCTGTTTCTTACTCTTTCTGTCATCTGATATTAACTGTATTGTTAGGGATTTAGCTGTGGTATATGGAGACTAATAATTAAAATTTCATTTGTAGTGTTTGCTATAATTTTTCTATCTCTGCATCATTGCAGATGCTTACAAGTTTAGAGAGTACACTTTTCACCTTTAATCAAGTAAACATCTCAACTAATATAATTGGGAAATATATTTGAACTTGGACTATCTCGTCCTGATCAGATAGATAAAGTAAGCTGGAGATTAAATACTTTTATACCCATCCAGTTGACACCTATACTTCAAAAGTATGAGGTCTTTTCCTATGGCTTCTCGTTAATTCTGCTGCTGCCCTAATTCTAGCATCTTACTTATATTCCCCTCAGCTTTCATCCAATTCCCTAACTCATAGAGTGACTTCAGTCAAAAGAGCTTCCTGCCTGCCAGTTCATACCTTTAATGTCCATTTTTTGGGTAGTTTTGCAGCTGTGCCCCACAATCTCAGACCCAGATATGGCAGAAGTAAAGCTGCCCTAGGAGATGTGTTTCAAGAGCTTAAAACAAATTGAAGGCTTGTTGTCCCTTTGGTATTACTCACTCTTGATTTGTTCTGTGCGAACTGGTCACAAGCTAGTCTGTCGTATGTACATTGTGTTGCTATAGCAAAGGTTTTTGCCTACAGCAAAAAATTTGGGGGAATAAAAATCCCTGAACTATTAATATTTGTACAATAAATTATTTAAAAATGAACAAAGTTATTCTTAGAATCCAAAGAGAACCTCAAAACAATCCGACTCTTTGGAAGTATTACATGGACTCTGATTTGCACTTAAGTTGGAGACTGTTTTGAGATCACTCAGATTGCTTTTAAAATTGCTTGATCTAGCTCCTTCTGTGAAAGAAACATGACTTCATGTCAATATCTGAGGTGCTAAGAGTTGATGTTAACGGTTTATTCAGTCTACAGTCAGGTGATGTCATACCAGTAAATTTTATTTTGGGATGTTGGTATTTTAGAAAGATGTAGTTAGTTAAAAGCTTTTTTTTTTGAGTTGGGAGTCTCACTCTGTCGCCCAGACTGGAGTGCAGTGGCTGCTCCCGGCCACCACAGCTTTGACCCGCTGGGCTCTGGCGATCTTTCTGCCTCAGCCTTCCGAGTAGCTGGAACTACAGGCGCGCGCTGCCACGCCTGGCTAATTTTTTGATTTATTGTAGAGATGAGGTCTCACCAAGTTGCCCAGGCGGGTCTCGAACCCGCGGGCTCAGGCAATCCACTCACCTCAGCCTCCCAAAGGCACAGGATTACAGGCTGAGCCACTGAGCCCGGCTAGTTAAAAGCTTTAGCAGGCAAAATAGTGACCCCTATTCATGTACGATTTTTGAACACTTGTATCCCCTACATTTTCTTTAATTATTGGTCAGAGGTAAGCCGGATTATTTCATTTTAAATGAAAAAGCACTTAGGCCATTTCTTTTCACAACAAACTGCTAATTAAGTGAAAGAACAGGTATGACTAATATTAATGAATCTATCAAACACAGTTTTATATATTTTATAAGAAACTTGCTAATATCACAATTAGGGAAATAACTAAGGATTCTGTTAAGATTCAGTAAATTCTTAACCTTTCCATTTTTCAGTTCTAGGTAGATTTGAAAATGTAACACTTTCTGACATTTTACTTTTTTACTTGGATTGTTCATTGTTCTGTTTAAAATATTGTCTTTAAACAGGTGTAGTTTTTTGAAGATTGAGCTCTCTGGCAATTCTTGATGTGTGAATATAGTTTACAAAAAGATTTAGTTATTCACATATGCTCACTGGGGACTAACAGTATCAACTTATTGTTGTTAAACTCGTTTGGTTTAAATAGCGAATTTTAAGCAATTTCAAAGTTTTTTTTAGCACATAAGAAAACATTACAGATTATCTGATAAGAAAATATTATTTTGGGGTTTATAGATTATAGAGGAAAAAGTTGGGTCACGTGGAAAAACTTTCATGTTTAGTAACTTGAATATAGAATTTATAATAAAATTTATCTTCAGTAAGGAATATAAATAAACTTAATCAGATATTTGTAGTTTTTGCAAAGCATTAGAAAAACTTTCAGAATTACAGAGGACTGAAATGTGATTTCAACCAGCTAGTCAAGTTGTGTATGTCCAATCACATTCCACATAGTCCTTTGCGAACTGCTTTTTTTGTTTGTGGGGAAGGGAGTTCACTTTTTGTGTACATACGTATATACTTCTTGTGTAATATAAAACAGATGGTTATTAGCAAAATTTTAGTTCTACTCAAGTTTATTCAATTGCTAGACACAAAAATTAGTATATTTAAGAATTTATTATAAAGCTTCTCTATAACTTTTAAAGGTGAGAGTTCTATTATGATTTTTTATAAAATCGAACAGCATGATTTAGAATGTCGGTCTTCTACTTAAAATGTGTCTGTATTCATGTTTCCATTCAGTGCAGATGGTAAGGATAACATCTAATCATTCATGGCTTTCTTTTAGCAGACTACCAGAACGCTGCCTAAGATGGTTTCATTGACTTTAGAAAAATATCTTGAAGGTTTATGATTGCATCAAATTGAGCCTTTACCTGATACCTAAGTATCTGCTCTTATGCTCTGCTTTACCTTTGGGGTTACCTTCCAAGGTTTGGTCACACCAGCAAATAGAAAGAGATCTTAATGTAAATAAAGAACTTATACTAACATTACTCATCGGTGTTACAGTATTTTAGAAACAAATTTCTGCCTTGTATGTCCACTAGTAGCAGTAGTGTTTCGGGTGTCATCTAGTCTTTCATGGGCGTGATTAGTTACCAATGTTACGCTTATGGTTTCATCTTTGTACTTGACAAGATAGCAATTTGCTTCTTCATTTTTGGTTCTAAAATACAAGCAAACTTCATTTCTGTAGCATCCAGCAATTACCCAAAGTAAATGTTTTTCTTTATCCTTTAGAACTTGTCATTCACACATTACCCATTTATATTAGTGGCAAAATTATCTGTCAAAATCTAGTTGTAAGAAAGGTTCAGCTTCCATCAAATGATTGTATCATACTGGATCATCATTTCTAAGGAACTAGTCTTTCTTTCCAAAACTTCTATTATAGAACTTAGAAAAGATGTCTCATTATTCAGAACAGCAAGTCTTACTGGAGTACTTGTTATCTTGATAGTTTTTTTTTAAGTTTAAAAGTAGTAATTAAACGTATATTTTGTGACTGTTTCCTGGTCTGTGTTTAAACATTCTTTTCCTTTTTCCCAATTTCGTTCATGAAGATGTGTTGATATTGAATTTGTGTAGACATTGAATGATTTTGTTAAAGGCACAATTAATCACATTGGTTGTACTTTGAAGACAGACTTTAAAAAAAAAATAAACAGAATTTAAAACAACATGGTGATTATAGATTAATGTAACATACGCCTCTCTAAACCGCAAAGCCGTAAATGTGTCACACAGATCCCAAAGGTGCTTTGACCAAGTCACAACCCTAAAACCTCACCTTTTTTATATTACCTAAGTTACCGCAAGTTTAGAATATAGAAAATGCTAAGTTAAGAAAATAGAAGTTTAGAATATAGAAAATGTTAAGCACAAATTTTATATATGTATAAGTGTGTGTGTGTATGTATGTGTGTTTATTTTTTTTTTTTTGAGTTGGAGTCTCACTCCTTTGCCCAGGCTGGAGGGCAGTGGCATGCTCACTGCCACCCCAGGATCGACCTGCTGGGCTCTGGTGATCCTTCCACCATAGCCTTCCACATAGCCAGAACTACAGGCACGCCCAGCTAACGTTTTGATTTATTGTAGAGATGAGGTCTCCAAGTTGCCCGGGCTGGTCTCAAACCCACAGCTCAGGTAATTCACTTGCCTTGGCCTCCCAAAGTGCTGGGATTACAGGCTGAGCCACCAGCCTAGCCAGCACAAATATTTTAGTGTTTTTTTTCATAATTCAAATATAAAAATATAGTTCCCATTACATATTACTACATATGGTGAATGAAAGAAGAAAAATGTTTAGAATGCTAATTCACTGACTGTACTCTGAAGTTAAGGATTTCACATGTGAAAAGATTTATCTAAGGGTTCTGAACTTTTTTCTTAGTGTGCCTTCTTTCACACTTTTATAACTTAGCAAACATTGTCAAGTGTGAATACCATTTTTTTTTAAAGTTAGGGTCTAACTAGAGGGCAGTGGCCTGGTCACAGCTTATCACAGCCTCTACCTCTTGAATTCAGGCGATCCGTCCACCTCTGCCTTCTTGAGTAGCTGAGACTATATGCATGCACCACCACTGGCTAAATTTTTTTTTTTTTGTAGAGGTGAGGTTTCATTATGTTGTCCAGGCTGGTCTCAAACTCCTAAGGCTCAAGCAGTCCTCCCGCCTTGGTCTCCCAAATGCTGGGGTTATAGGTGTAAGCCACTGTCCCTGTTGAATGCTTTTTTTCTTTTTTGAGTTGGGAGTCTCACTCTGTCGCCTAGGCTGGAGTGCTGTGGCATACTCCTGACCACCGCAGCCTCAACCTGCTGGGCTCTGGCAATCCTTCTGCCTCAGCCCTCCAAGTAGCCAGAACTACAGGTACGCGCTACCATGCCGGCTAATTTTTGATTTATTGTAGAGATGAGGTCTCGCCAAGATGCCCGGGCGGGTCTCGAACCCGCAGGCTCAGGCAATCCCCTCACCTCGGCCTCCCAAAGTGCTGGGATCACAGGCTGAGCCACCGAGCCTGGCCTGAATGCTACATTTTTAAGGATCAGTGACGCACACCGAGGTCCGAGAGACTCCAGCTAAATTCTCCGACAGGAGAGTGTCCTGGCCTAGGCTCCGTAATTAAGTGTGCAGTTACCTTTCTGAAAGGTGTTTTCAAATGCACTGGTGATTTTTCAGGTAATGACAGTTCTGGATTGCTGGATACTCCCTCGTTAATGCAGATACTGATGAAGTAGGATGTTTATTTGCTTTTCATTCAATTTTATGAACATGGGGTCTAAGCAGACCACAGCATAAAGACCAATTTGTAAAATGGGACCATTTTAATTTTTAAAAAATGTTTACAATTTATATTTTTTTACGTTTTAATGTTTTTAATGGATCATTAAAATTTTTTTTTTTACAATTTAATAAATAGTTCTCTTGACTGCAGACAAGTAAGGCTCTTTGGTAGTATTAAGAAACATCACAGTAAAGGTGGTTTTCCCAACTGATATGTGGTCAATAATTATAAGGAGTTTACTTGTATGAAACTTTTGTCAAACCAGTAAGACTGCATTTATGCATCCATCGTTTTCAGGATTGTTGGTCACCTGGGCATATTTCCCTAAGGAAAACAAAACCAAAAAAAGGAAAAGGAAGGGATGTTAGCTAATGAAAGTTAATTTTAAAGGCTATATAACCTTTGCCTAAAATAATTCTGACCACTCTTAAGAAATAAGAAATGAACCACAGAGGATGAGATTTTATAAAATCAAGTCACTCAAGACCAAGCTTGAGTTCTGAATATAATTTTCATATAAATAGTGTTTCTGCAAATATTGGTCATCTCCATGCTACAAGTACAGTGTATTAATAGGCCCTTGTGATTGATCCTGAGCATTGGTACTTTTCCACATAGTTCTTCCTGGAAAATGGATCGGGTTTTAAATCACTTTAACAACCCACTTTATTTTTTTATTTTTATTTTTTTGAGTTGGAGTCTCACTCTGTCGCCCAGACTGGAGTGCAGTGGCCGCTCCTGGCCACCGCAGCCTCGACCTGCTGGGCTCCGGCGATCCTTCCACCTCAGCCTTCCGAGTAGCCAGAACTACAGGCGCGTGCTACCACGCTCGGCTGATTTTTTGATTTATTGCAGAGATGAGGTCTCGCTGCCCAGGCGGGTCTCGAACCTGCGGGCTCAGGCCATTCACTCACCTCAGCCTCCCAAAGGCACGGGATTACAGGCTAAGCCACCGAGCCCGGCAACAACCCACTTTAAAACTGAGGTCAGCTAACATGAAGTAGTAGCCAGTGACTTAAGTCAGAGTGTACTCTTTTCTTTCAAAGGACAAAAAAAGGTTAGAGATATCTGGACACTAAAAGTAAAAAACTAAGCAAATGAGGAAATTTAAAATTGCTACATGACACATTTCAGCTTTAATTACTACTGAACTAGTGCGGGTTATATGTTTGATGTATGCCTTCCTTCCCCTGCTCGTGGGTAATTTATTGTATTTTGTTTTTTGGTTTTGTTTTGTTGTTTTTTTTTTTGAGAATCTGGCCATGGAGATAGTGCCACTTTCTTCCCTGGAAATTTGCTCAGAACCAGGCACTACTGGGGACCATGTATTTTATATCTTATTAACTGAAACCAATAAACTAAATTTAAAAACAATTGTATTCATAACTGCTTTTTCTATACAATAGTCTTCCTAAAGATTTACATCGGATTTACATTAAATTTTAACTTATTAAGCTCTCCTGCGTTAAAAAAGACATTTAAAAAAATCAGTTTGAAGAGTATTTCAATTAGGACTATAGAATAGCAATAGCCCCATATTCAAAAATTTACTTACCCCAAATGACTTTGCCTCCTTGTGTCACAAGGCCCAACTCGCTCACATTGACCTCAATGACAGTCCCCTTGGTAATAACACCCAAAGTTGTATATAGTGGAGATGAGGGATTCTTCTTTACACCAAGTATTGGCAGGCAAAAGGTGGCTTTCAGTTCAGGATGCGTTACATGGGCTTTCTTGAAACGTAAGCCCTAGCAAGGTCAACACAACATGAGAATGTTTGAGTCCAAAATGTTCAACAGTGATGAGTACTTGTCCTTTTTGCTTACCTTTTCAACTGCCTCCAAAAAACCATGGGTTGAATAATATGAAATCTTCAAGTATCTAACAAATACTAACAATTCTACAGACTAAAAACCTGTATTTATAAAAATTTCACAGGCTGAGCATTAGGAGTAATGCTGCAACCTTCCTCTCTGATTCTTTGTTTTTCTAAGCAGAGTAATTTTTCTGAACTGAGTAACTGTTTCTCTTGAAGGAATTTTGCAAAAAAATATTTCTCCAATTATTTTTCCCCAGTAGTGGGGGTAGGGATTAGTATGGGGGCATATTACTATTACTGTTGTCTACAGAAATGAATCTACTTTTACATTAAATTCCCTTTTCAATGGCTGCATACTGAATGTTTTCAAAAGCATCACAATTCTTTCCTTACTAAACTGGAATCGAATCTTTGGACAACAGTCCTATTCAAGTTTTCTTACTGTTGTCAAAGACAAGAAGTGTTTGAGGTCTAGCACAGTCAGGTATTTAGTAGATCACTTGTTAAATGAGAAAACCATGATTGAGTATAAAATGAAGATTCTAATATGTCATGTTTAAAAGTCAGAACTCACTTATGAAAATTCTTTTTCATTTCAAATTATCTTATGAAGCTGAAAACAAGATTCTTTACTGTAGTGGAAAATACAAAGTAACCTCTATCAATAACATAAAACAATAAAAATAGCATCATAAAACATCTTTCAACCAGTTTTTCATAACAATTTTGAGAACTTTGGGAAAGCATAATGTACTTTACCCAACGTAAGGGGAACCAATATTTAAGTCACTGCATTCTTGCAAAGGACTTACCATTGGCCTAATGAATCTTTCATATTTGGGTGGTTTTCTTGTAAAGCCATCTCCAACAAAGCAAACTTTAGTAACCATCCTCTTCCATGCCTTCTTCTTTCTTTTTCCCGTTCGAATAACTTTTAATACTTCTGTTTCTCCCTGGGCACGAACTTTAGGCAAAGGGACTTCCCATTTTCCCTACAAATATGCCACAGTTAAAATTCATTAGTAAAAGACAATAAGTCAAATATGTTGTAGTTTTACAAAGTAGTAGATTCATCTTTTTCCTTCAACTTATTTTTTTCATTCATGCTTTTTGCTCAGTTGTTTCTGGAGGTCTGCACTGTCTCCTCACAAAGTGCAAATTAAGCAGAACTAGTTAAGTTTGTATATCATGAGTACATTAAATAAATGGTTTGCCTTAGCTAAAAATTTTTTGCCCTATTATGGGCCAAAAAAAAAAAAAAATGCCACCTATAATATAACAGTGATACTCTATAAGCAGTATATGTGCTTACTACTAGTTAGTAGCATAAAATTGGAAGACCGTCTCCATCTCTTAATGTAGTCTCATATTTCTACTTCAAATGGATTACTAGATTACTAGTAAGACAAAGTCCTCACCAGATGTTCTGTACCGCTCTAGAGTGCAAATTCTATGAAAAAGTTGTAGCAGTGTCAGGCAGTTGAAAGAATTCTGGGTTTATTACTAAAGCATGGGTTTTGGAGCAACTCTATCATTCATTATTATGTGACCATGAAGAATAATTTACCACCTCTTTTCACCATTCTGCTTTTTAACCCAGTTGACACTGCAAGGCAGCACACGCAGGAAGCAGTTGTATTTCTCTTTACAATGGCATAGCATAAGGGGTTTTCAATACCGGAAGGCATTAAATACTGAACTTGAAATTCACTATTTTTTGGTTTTAAATTTTTAAAACTAAAGATGCAAGACATTCTAATAAACTTTTTAAAACTGTTAAATTTTAAAACCTGATAAGCAAGATTTGTTAAAAATTTACAAAGCAAAGATTGGTTACTAAGTTTACAAAATTTACAAAACTCAACATCTAAATAATAGGAATAATAGTAGAACTTCACGTTTCAAATTACACTAAAGGAACAAAGTAAGAATTTGAATTTAAGTAATTTTCCTGAACAAAAAAGAAATAAAAACTTCAATTGTTATTGCTTACCGCTTTCTCTTTTCGTTTTTGTTTAATCATATTGGACAGTACTTTAGCTCGGGACTGCCCCTCTCTGTCCAGCAGATAGGCAGGCACTGCTCCCTGTGGAGTCTTTTCATCATTCTTTTGCTTGGTGTTTCTCTTTTCATGCATCTTGATACTATAAAGAAGGAAAAAGACTATCAAGTCTTACTAACTATTACCCTAAGGACGTTAACTTGTATGACAAATAAATGGGATCACTTACGTCTTTTTCATTTGTATTTTTTCAGCATGGCGCTGCTTATGATAGAGCTTAGCCTTCAGACCAATCATCTTCTTTGCCTTCTTTGAACGTTCATGAGCCTCTCGACTCTCCTTCTTTCTCTTTTTCTCATGGTAATCCAAACGATATCCATGGCGTTTACGGTGTAATTCAATATACTCATTTTGTGGCTATAATATTGCAAGAAATGCGATTTTAATTTTTAAAACCACTGACAGAATTATGCTTTCTTTTACACAGGGTATAAAGTAGGTAAGACCCTGTATCATATAGATACTCACTTGTATAAGTGATTCTTGTACTATTAAAGCTATTCACATGGTGCAAGTTAAATTTTGATCTTGGATAATATGAGGCATCAGAATGTACCTCTGTACAATCTCAATAAAGGTTACTGTTCATTGACAGGAGTCATCCAAAATCTATTGGGTCACAAACAGGATAACACGATCTCTTTTTTCTCTGACATAATGTGTTTTCTTTCTTTCTTTCTTTCGAGTTGGAGTCTCGCTCCGTCGCCCAGACTGGAGTGCAGTGCCCGCTCCCGGCCACCGCAGCCTCGACCCGCTGGGCTCCGGCGATCCTTCGCCTCAGCCTTCCGAGTAGCTGGAACTACAGGCGCGCGCTACCACGCCCGGCTGATTTTTGATTGGTTGGAGAGATAGGTCTCGCCAAGCTGCCCAGGCGGGTCCCGAACCCGCGGGTTCCGGCAATCCACTCACCTCGGCCTCCCAAAGCACGGGATTACAGGCTGAGCCACCTAGCCCGGCTATAATGTGTTTTCAATAACTTCATTCCATACTTTCTATTTTCAGAAAATGCCAGTTTTACTGAAGCATAATTCACACACAATAAAACTTGCCCTCTGGGTACGGGTGTACAGTTCTAAGTTTGGACTCACTACAGTTCTGCAACCACCACAGTCACGACGTCTAGTATTTCCATTACCCCCCAAAAATGTCCTTGTGTCACTTTGGAGTCAATCCCCTTTCCTCACCTCCAATCTTGGATCTGTCCCTATAGTTCTGTTTTTTCCAGAACGAAATGTATTCGAGACCCACAGTACAGGGCCTTTTGAATTTGGCTTTGCACTTTAGATATACAGCTTTGGGGATTCACCCACGTTGTTGCAGGTATGGGTACTTTAATCCTTTTTGTTGCGGAGCAGTATGCCGTCGCGTGGCTATTCCGCTGTACACCCACTGACCAGCTGATAGACACTCGGGCTGTTTCCAGTTTTCGGTGACTATGGATAAAGCCGCAATAAACAGCTGCATGTGGGTCTTCGTGTGGACATACGTTTACGGCCAGTTTTTCAAAGCGGCTGTATTAGCTCACATTTCACCAGCGGTGCATGGGATTCCTTTGGCCTTTTAAGCGCGCTTGATTTTAGACCCGCGGCCAGACCCAAGTCGGCTGTGTCTTAAGAGCGCAAAAAACGACAGAAAGCCAGCTCCAGAACAGAGGACTGCTAAGTAACCATTCACAAGGTGTGCTGTCCTTAGCCGCTACGGGGAGGACGTGGCAGCGGCCACAGGAAGGTGGGCGGGACGCCGCTTGGCGACGGAACAGACGGGTGGCGCGGAGCGAAAGAACTCCGCAGTCAGCTCCGGGCGGTCGAGTCCGGCTCCGCAGCTCGTTCGCTCTCCGGCCTTTGGGAAGGCTGCCCTTGGCGAACTCGGCAGCAACCTGCGGAGGCAGGAGGAGGGCCTGCCGGACAGAGGCAGCCTCGAGGCTCGGCCTTGCACTTGGCCCGGCCCTGAGGACCACACGGGTGGCGAGCCAGAAATCCCGGAGGGGGTCTGTCTAGCTCCAAAGCCGGCACTGTGGCGAACACTCCGCGCTCCTCGCGGAGGTTC